ATTAATACGTTGCACAATCTTTCTCATCAAAGTGCTCGTGCAATCATCAAGCTTATAGCAGGATGGTTTTGCTGGCCTGGCATGAATAAAGACGTGAGCAAAAGGGCACGCTCCTGTGTAGGCTGCCAAAAATCTAAGGTTATCAGACACAATAAATGTCCCTTAGGCTCATTTAAAACTCCCGATGCTCGTTTCCATCGTGTTCATCTGGATTTGGTAGGACCTTTACCAGATTCAAATGGATACTCTTATCTTTTATCTTGCGTAGACCGTTTCACTCGATGGCCAGAAGCAGCACCTATCAAGGACATCACTGCTGAAACAGTGACTCGCGCCTTCGTTGGGCGATGGGTAGCAAACTTCGGCTGCCCTTCAACTATCACTACAGATCGCGGACGTCAGTTTGAATCTGATCTTTTCCGTCATCTGACCACACTTTTAGGAATCACTCGCTTCCGAACGACTGCCTACCACCCACAAGCAAACGGGTTGATAGAACGTTTTCACCGACAACTAAAAGCTTCACTATCAGCTGCAAACGTTTCACAGTGGACCGACGCTCTTCCAAATGTCTTATTAGGTATTCGCAATGCAGTGAAATCTGACATTGGATACACTGCGGCTCAACTCTTTTATGGAACGACACTTCGACTTCCAGGAGAATTCGTGGATCCTTCGTCCTCTTCAATGAACATGGATCTAACCTCCTACACGAACAGGCTTACAAGCGCAATGCGTTCAGTTAAACCTTCGGTACAATCGAACGACACGACTCCACTCATAATTCCTCAATCGACAACCAACACACGCGATGATACTCTGAATGTATCTGAAAATAAACTTAAAACGACGCGTTCTGGAAGAAGAGTTACATTTCCAGAACATTTAAACGAATACTGCACGTAAGGCACTTCTCGACATTTTATATTATCTCGATCTTTCTTTTTACAATATATAATATTTTAAAAAAATATTTTAATATGCTTGTATATTTCTATTTTTATTTTAAAAAAACAAACAAAAAAAACATTATAAATCTTTTTCTAACGAGCCTACGTGTACATGAGTTTATTTTCCTTTTTTTCGCCGACATTGTGTGTTTACGCACATACGAGTGTATATCGACATGTACTTACATTTTCTTTTTTCTTTTCCAGGACGGCTGGAAAAGAACGATGACGTTTATGAGGAGCTGAAATTTTCATTGTACGTTTTCTTTTTTCACTATGTTGTACCTCGGTCCCATATAGTAGGGAAAGAGGATCAGACGCTGCTACTCCTAGCAAGCTATCAGAAGAGTGTTTACCAACGACGAACTCGCTGAGATTCTACTTCTGGCTGGCCACGTCTCAGGGTCATCACTAACCCACTAGGGAGGGAGTGATCTGCAGCGGTAAATAAATCCCCAAAATAAATAGCCCTGTAAGTTTTCGACATTGGATGCTGACCATATGTTTTAGTGGACTGATCTAGCTGAAGGCGCTCGGTCAGGCATCCGCACCAGATCACCTGTGGTTACGCCGTGCTCAACTGCTACTGCAATCGCTAGCCAGATTAGATCAGAGAATTCCGATTTATTGGTTATCGCCAAATATACGCTTCCGATCTCCTCGACTCTGTCTTTTGATTTCTCTGGGTGGGTACAAATTATATTAGGTGTTGCTGGTAAAAGCGTTGTCAAACACTGAATAGCTGTGTCATTCTTCAGTTTTTAGAATATCGTCAGTGGCCATGGGAATTTGGTTATAGGTTTTAACCAGGTCAGTTTTCGAAAAGACAGTTGTATTTTCCAAGGTGGCTGTCAAATTGTGAATGTGAGGCAACGGATAACGATCGGAAATGGTTTGGGCATTCAATCGTCGATAGTCACCAGTTGGACGCCAGTCGTTGCTGTCCTATTTAGGGATCATGTGCAACGGAGATGCATATGGGCTACTTGACGGTCGTATGATTCCTAAGTCTATCATATGGTCGAACTCGTTTTTCGCTAGCCTCAGCTTTTCGGGAGCTAGTCGTCGTGCTTTAGAAAATACAGGTGGTCCTGTAGTCGTGATGTGATGTGTAAGGTTGCTGGTTACACACGGTAATCTCGGTTGTGGTTGGTTTATCTCATAATAATTGTCAAGTAGTGATTGGTAGAATAGATTTATCGTGTGCCAATGTGTGACAGGAGATAATCGGCGCCTGGAAACAGAAGTTACGCAAACGGATAAATTAGTGTTTCCGTTTGCTAGCCTCCGTTTGCCCTTATCGATGACTGCATTGTGGTGTTGTAGGAGGTCTATACCAATGATTGGCAACAACGAAGATCCAGTGTATTGGTTTGAGCAAATTCATGTTAAGGTAAACGTACCTTTTACGTTATGTGACGATACGCTTTCCGTTTGCCGCCAGTAGATTTAAAACCGGTCAATGAAGCCGTTCGTTAGAATTTGCAGGAAGAACGCTAACTTCTGCTCCAGTCTCGATGAGATAGCGAACTTTCGTCATCACATCTGTGACGTATAACAGACGGCTATGTTCGCTGGTCACGGTGACCGTTAACGCATGAATTGTTTTGAATTGTTTTTCGTGTAGGTCGATTTTTAGTTTTGAAAAGATTGTAGGGTTTTCTGCAGTTTCTGGAGGTTTTTCCATTACTTGTTCTGATACCAGCACCAGTTGGGGTTATCCGTCCTTCGTGGTCTAGTGATGGATTGCTTACGTGAAGTGCTTCTTCGTGTGGTATGTGACAGCTTACGGTCGTTACGAAATCTAAGATAATGTGTACGAGTAAGACATAACTCAGTGAAGTCATTCTGGGTAGTTTGAGGTTTTTCCTTGACTGTAAAAGCATCGACATAAGAAGACTACATGATTTCTAAGATGTGGCCGGCACATGCAGCCAGCTCGTCTAAGGCGTTGTTTTGGAACGATACCAGCGTAGCTTTCACCTGTTGAGGAAGTTCGGATAAGGAACGTTGTCTGAATAGGCAATCACTGAAGGTTCTTTTGCCTATAACTTCCCTCGTCCTTAGTAACATGTCTGCCGCAGAACTGTGTTGCAGGTCGATGTTATTAAGGAGTTGGTCTAGCCTTTGTCGATCAGTTAGATCTCTGCGTTTAAGGATAGATTGTTTAGGTGTTTCGTAGGGTTCAGAAACATCTCTAGTAAACATACTAGGTGTTACGTACCTGTTGAATTCGCGCGGTAGTGCCTTGAATACTGCGGGGAATTGTGCACGTGTGTCGATCACGCCATGTTCGGAGAAGTCGGCTCCTGCGTAGCAAAACTAGGCTTCGATGTTGTCTGGCCAGAAGGGACTTATTTGAAACGAAGGTGATGACATAGACTTTAACTTAAGTACCTTGGGCGTCCGTTCAGTCATGGTGAAATATCAAGTACGAGAACGAACGTGTGAAAAAAAGGAAGAAAATTATGAATTGTATAAAAAATTAAAATAAGGCAATGTTATATAAAATCTCAGAAAGGAAGAGACTCACTGTTATGACTTTAAGTTGCGGTCGATTTTTACCCTGTGCTAATTGTTGTGTCCTTGACTGGAAAATTAGAGAGCAGCGTACTTATCGATCGATTACAGTGACACGTAAACACGAACGGACGGCCTAGAGTCTCGATTGGTCTCGCTTCCCTGTCTAGCCCAGTCAGTTGAGTCCAGAACACAAGCCACAGCCTCGGAGATATGAATCATTACATTTCAAACATACCTTGTTTATATACCAATCAAGCATATCACATCGTACCATAAAAATAGAAAACAACATCTTGTACAATATTCAACAAGTGAACAGGTATCGACCAATAGGAAATGTCCATTTAAATTCCAAGGACACCATTGGACTTAACATGATAATTATTGGTCTATTCCTCCGCATCCACAACACTCACAATTTGCGATTTGGTGTACTGGATCACGTCATGCTCATCAATGAAGGATGCAACAGGTATTCGGAGTTTGGCAACGTTTTAACCAGTAACACCCACTGCCATGAATAATACCCACCAAGTGAAGTCAAAAGACAGAAACGAGGAGGTTCGATGATAAATTTGATAAATTATCAATGTATCGAGGATGGACTGATCTAGACTGGCTAGCGATTGCAGGGGATGTTGAGCACGGCGTTCCCACACGTGATCTGGTGAGGATGAGTGACCTAGCGCATTCATCTAGATGAGTCCATTGAAACTAATGTAGTCAACATCCACTGTCGAAGACTTACAGAGCTATTTATTTTGGGGATTTATTTACTGCTACATGTGAAACCGACTTTTCAGGAGTCCTGTAAGAGAAAACTTGTAGTGGCGTCAAGTCACTTTCGACTATGTTCACCACTACAGGAAGACAACGTGCCAGTCAACCAATAAGATCCCCTACAGGCCAAATATCAGAAGGCAGTTAATGGCTATAGCCGAGATGTATTTTTTGGCTATCTCTTCGTATCGAAACAATACCGAAATCGTGACAGGTTACACGTGCGGTTACCGATCGTAACCGAATTCGTGCAAGGTCACAGGCAACGGGATAATGTACGTGTTCTTTGTACAGTTAAACAAACAGGTACAGTAAAACAACCACTGGTACAGTTGGTTATGATAATAATTGTTTCTATTACACCAATCGTGTGCTGTTGAAAAAAGTGGGTCACTACAAACTTGACTTATTGTTGAGGACTAAAGATTGTATGTTATTATGATTTTCGAATTACATTTTCCTCTGTTATCAAGAATATACCTAGGTTCTTACCTGAAGGGATTGGTGATCTACTACTATTAGACACGGAAGCTTGTTATACGAAAGCTTCTTCTATTCCGTCCACAACCATTAGAACCATTTTGTTTATCCCAACACTGTAGACTCATTCAAACGAAAGGTGGATCAACTGAGAACATGATTGTTATGAATAATACAGGCAATCCACCCTATTGTTCTTTTCAAACTGGAACTGATGGACAGTAATTGTCTAGTTTGAAATATGCGCATTGGACATTGTTTAGCTGCACAACTTGAAACTTGCGCTTTTCATAGGAGTATGTTCTCTGGTCAGCATAGAGATATTTGCTCTGACCGAGGGTGTGAAAACTGTCGGGAATTATCTGAAAACGTAAGCAGACATATCAGAAGGTCAATATCTCACCGCACGTGTCGTGCGTAGGACTAGGATATGATATATGTGATGCTCTGAGTTTGATTTGCAACTTAACCTAACTAATTTGCTTTGACCTGAGTACATCATTATCGGTCAGTACCCTGGGTCTTCCGTAACTTTAGAATGCTCTGGGGACTTTTCAAACTAGCGTTTCTATCTTCGTTCTTATTGATCTGTAAGGATTTACTGGTTATTCCCATTTTGGGAACTTTAGGTAAATTTTGGGGTTTTCCCCAAAGTCATACTAAATATGGTAGTTCTCCCTAGAGTTTAGAGAAAACCTCTAAAGATTTATAGGGTTCTAGGGAAGTATTGTGGGGAACTCAAGATTCCCCCAAACATTTTGGGGATTTCCCCAAACCTGGTGAAGTTTTGGTGTTTTTGTGTCATTTCCCCAAAGCTTTTTATAGCTATTTCCCCACATTAGGGAAGTTAGCATATTTCGAACTATCCAAACATTTTAGTGTAGTTTTCTCATATTTTCCACGGTTTATACGATGACATCAAAGTAAATCAAAACCATCCACAATCCCACAATGTAGGATTGTGTCACAGGATGATTAACCGCCTATTAACTCCTACGAGCTCCAATTACTGTACATGTTAGTGTTAAAAGTTCCACCCTCTATTATTACTTAGAAGTTTACTTCAGCTGTTTTATAACAAACCCGGTCTCAATATAGACCACTCGTTCACTTCACTCACGAGGTGTCTATAGGTTTATTATTAATACCATGAATTTTTATATGAAGCTTCACTTTGTTTACTGATAATAGTAACAATTAGTAATCATAGATTATCAGGTATTCCATTTGAGATAGGTTAGGCGTTAAAAAACTACTTTCATATAGCCAACGAGAAGTTCGCAACTTACTCAACTCCCCATATATGTATGGACTCGTATCACATGGCTTAATAAAGCTATATTTAGTTGTTATTTCTGGACAATGAGATACTCTAACTACTCTCGAATCTCCTAATGGTTCATTCGTTGCCGCAGAATACGGACTGGTTCCCAGTCTGAAGATATTACGTCACTCTTTAAATACTACAAAATGACAGAGGAGATGCCCATCCATGATGCGGAGAACCGATGAGTGTCAAAGTCCCTTATACCTCTGACAAATGTGGCTATTAATGCTAAGTAACAATCATTTGTCTTTTGAAGGAAATACGTGACTTACCAAGTTTTGGATGACAATACCTTTCATTCCTGATGAGTGCTACATAACTTACGATATTCATACTATGGCTCTTCGTGAACTCAAGAACATAAATATGATGAACTTCGGATTCTTATCTTTTGTAAAGGTATCACATGTCACCGTCTGGAAGAGTCAATTACATCACTGCAACGTCCATAAAAATAACTTTTTTACTGATTTGAACACATTGGTACAAGTAGTCACACAACTAGGTGAGATTGTGAAAGAGTGGAGGAAGAGGGCTGAGTACAGTCAAGTGAAAAAAATGAACAGAAACAAGAAAATGAAAATAGACTATGACAAGCAAAAATCAGTCTTTAATGTTTCGGGCCACTAAGCCAAGTCGTCTTTAGGACCTTAACCAGTTCTATACTGGTAGTAAACTGTGTGTAGTTTTACTGAATGTCGTTCCTAACGTAATCTTAGAAACTTGTGTAATTGATATACCGAATAGACAAGTGCTTTGTTCCCATGTTTTAGTGTCTTTATACTATGGGTAATTATTTCCATCATGGATATGCTTAGGGAAATAACATTCATTTAAGTCAGACGTTATCAATCCAGAACACAGCACAGGTGTGCTTTGGCCCAAGTTGCAATTACCACATTTACTCGGCAAAATGAAACTAACAAAGTAGATAGCAAAGGCTATCTGGATAATATAGCATCAATAACAACGAGCAGGACTGAGTATTGAAAGTGTGGTTCGCAAAGACAAAGTGGAAAAGTTTGTATAAAGGAATACTGAAATTCAAAATCATGAAAAAGATAGGTGGATTTATCGGCACCATTGTTAACGATTCTGAGTAATGTCGCTCAAAGTCTCCAGCCACCATTTACGGCTGTTGCGCAGACCCCAAACAGGTAAACCTCACCGGTTACCATGGGACTGCATTTCCTGATGTTGCTCCACTGCCTTGTGGATTAGACCTTCAGGTCGAAGGCTCTGGGTGTGACCCCTTAAGGAAACCACTTGCTTAGGTTTGATCACCCGGTCAGTATCCTATTCCTGACATAAATCGAATGATTTATATGGCGCATGTCTATTTGGTGCGTTCTTGTACCCATGTTTGTGTGTTTAAATAAATAAATAATAAGCAGTACAAATTTATAACAGTTCGGTCGGTAAGATTCTGAACCTTCATCGACTGGAATAGTTTTGAAACATATTACTGATCTCTGGTCATCTTCCACCTTTACGTGTTATTGTTACTAAGATATAAGTGGATTAGGAAAAAGCAAAGAGCAACTTGTCTTACCTCACTAGTTAATGCGCAGTTTTTGTTGTTCCTAGGTTAGTTAACTAACTAACTTGTAAAGTCGTTTATTCCTCAGTTACAGCTATGATGTATCTTAACTGTTAATTTAGGATTAATTTTATTGTTTCCTTAACAAAAAACTGTAGTGGTAAAAACATCAAAACTTTTATTTTGGAAGGACATCATTGTCAAACTCTGCCACTGAATGACTCGCGTTTTATCACTTGTCCTGGTATGGTTATTTTCACAGAATCAGCTTGATAATCAAACCCGATTTGTTCGTTGATGGATCGTCTGCTTATGATTATTGTGATTCACAGTTGCTTTACTAATTTCGCTTTGTTCTTGACTTTTCCTTTATTTAGGTTCACTGTACTTGCATTTCCAATATCAAACGGTCAAAGCCATCGTCTGATACTAGCACACCTGTCGATCAAAAGAAAAAGCGCCTGCATAATAATAGCTCTCCAGTTTCTATGGAAAAGAAAAACTGCATTGATACATTTACTTCTTGGTCAAATGGAGACCAAGTCGACTTCATTTGCAACCTGTTGTCGAAAATTTCTCACTTTCAACAAAGTCAGATCAATGATTTCCTAGAACCTCTCCTAAAGCGTGATTTTATTGTTGCGCTCCAAAGTAAGTAAACTTGCACAATCTATAAGATTAAACAAATTCTATGCTAGTGACGCGACGTTACTTGGATGCTACTGCTTTGGAAATCTGTGGCATTTCAAGTTTATCAATTAGTTTACTAGTCACGTTATCACTTTTAGTCAGTAGAAAATCAGGCCAGAACTGAGTTATTTGTCAACTTTTAGATAAGTCACCTTTATACATTTCTAGAAATTGTATAGGAATTTGATGCGTATACATTGTAATACTGTCTAATATTAGTTCATATTGTATAAATAACATGAATTAGTACGATATCTAGTACGTTTTATGTGTTTAAACTAAAAGAAGTTGTTGTACTCGATAGAATTTCCATAACTTGATGTGATGGTCATAAATGTCAGATGTAGGTGTATTTCTAAAAGCGTGTTTTTGAAAAAAGTGTATTGAACTATTTTCGCACACAATTGGTGTAAGTAGGATATTGATAAATCAGTCATTTCAAAAATCATTAATCTGTTTCTGAATTTTTTTAATAATTTCTTAGATCGCGGTGTTCCTTATCTTGCTGAAATGATTTTAGTCCAGCTAGATGCATCTAGTCTTCTTTCAGTTGAACTCGCTTCTAGAGGATGGCAGTGGAGTGTTGCAAAGTATCAACTGTGGCGTCGTCTACTAGCTTGTCGTGTAGCTACTGATCCAGTTTGGCATGGGCTGTGTGAACGTAGAGGATGGATTGAATTTATTGACCACTCTGATCCAGCTTATTTACCTGCATTGCTCGAGCGACGTCGGGTCCCCATAGGTGTTAGGCACAAACTAACCGAATTCTCCCCATTCCTTGATAGTAATTCTTGCATGGAATGTGAAGCATCAAAACTTTCTCCGAAACTAGAATCAACTGTTAGTGTAAATCGTCAGCAATCTCTAGTATGCCAGTGTCATTCAGACATTCAACATTCCTTAATATATCCTACTGATACACACTCCTACGTATCGAGAACTCAAAGTATCCCATTTTCAAGAGATTCTACAACTGATGCATCCAACACACCTAGTTGTTCTTTAAGCCCATATAATGCGAATGATGGATTAAATCATCGGCTTGTGAGTGCAACTTCTTTTTCCATGGAGACAGATCTACATGATGCACTCTCTTACGAAACAGTTATGTTTGCCCATCGCTTCTACAAACAACTTTATCCTCGCATAATTCGTGATATAGCAGTAAGCTTTTTTATTTACTTTTCTCTCACTTTTTTTTATTTTACTATGATCTAGCTTTGTTTATGGTAAAGTCTTTGTGCATTTGTTTCACCTATATTCACAAGCCACGTCATGTAGAAAGTCATGTTCAGTTTAACACTTAACGGTTGTGTGCGCTTGTAACAGTGAGTCAGTCATTCAGTGCAACGTAGAACCTGATAAGTATGTACATCGGTTCTAGTTGTCATACAATAATGTCATAATTAGCTTTCAAGTGTTATCTGTGGTCAGTCTTGAAGTGGTTATGAACTTACAACTTAACGGTTAAGCGCCTAGTACTTAAACTTCTAAATCGTCCCTCCACTACAGTCCTATAGGACGTAGATATCGAAGTACACGTAATAGTTTAGAAAATCGGTGGCAACTTTTTACCTTTAACAACTTTAATTCTATTCATCCTGTACTTATCGGAGATATGAAAAGGATAGCTATTTACCCGTATTAGTATTTCAAATATTTAATCAGTTTATTAGTTTCTTTGTACTTATCATGATGATCGATATGATAAAACATCGTAGAAAATTTTTCATAACTAAAATGGTTGGCTTATAGTTATGCGAGTTTGTAATCAACTGTTTTGTAAGTTACTTATTGAGTAGAAAGTTGAATTTCTTAGCATTTATTGTATACAACGAAAATGAAAGCTTTCCTGTCTGTCAAGATATAATCCTTTGATATTATAAAAATGGATCTAAACGATTCCATCCACCTCTAACTCTATATTCTGCAGTTCTTTTTGCGCATCCGATTTTCCTCATTTTCCTTCCTGTAAAAACTACTTATCAGTATTAACAATTACTAGTATGATTGTAGTATCTATAAATTTTTAACGAATATCATCCAATTTGTAACAGGTCATGGTTGCTTTTCATCTAAATTTACAGGGGTTGAACTTCTACCGCAAGATTCACTTTTTGACCTAGAATATGCCGATAACATAGTTCTATTTGGTGAAGTCTTCTGACCACTATAAGCAACAATGCAAGCATGTTCGGAATGCGATTCTCCCCCTCGAAATGCAAAATGTTGCTTCAGGATTGGGTTGCATTGACACCCGAACTAATGATAGGGAGTGAAGTAGTTGAGCGTGTCGATCGCTTCACTTATCTTGGAAGTCTCATCAGCCCTTGTGGTCTGGTGTGTGACGAAATCTCAGCACGGATACAGAAGGCTCGACTAGCTTTTGCCAACTTGCGTCATTTATGGTGTAGGCGAGATATCCGTCTATCAACCAAAAGACGTGTTTACTGCGCAGCAGTTCGTTCCATCCTACTTTATGGCAGTGAAACATGGCCGGTAAGAGTAGAGGATATTCATAGGTTACTAGTATTTGATCATAGGTGTCTTCGAAACATTGATCGTATATCGTGGGACCATCGAGTAAGTAATGTAGTTGTTAGGAAACGGGTACTAGGTAAGGATAACAAATCGACTGATGAAGTAATGAAACTTGATCAGTTGAGATGGCTGGAACACGTGTCGCGAATGCCCAACCACCGAATGCCCCGACGTGCGATGTTGTATGGTGTAGGAGTAGATTGGAAGAAAGCTAGGAGCGGCCAGACCAAAACATGGCACACATCCATGAAGTCACTGGCAAGTGGACTAAGTCATGTTGGTAGGTGTAGACTACCTGGTTGGGGACCGCGAGATGATAGCAACCGATGGTTAGAGACCCTGAATGACATGGCTCAAAATCGTTTGCAATGGCGCAGGTGAATACACTCTTTGTGTTCTCTCAAATTTTGATCTCCTAATTCCTCCTTGTCTTTTTTTCTCTTCCCAAATTTATTTCATTGTATTATACTCTTTAAGTAACATCTCCAAACACTAAGCTTCCCGATTACTGCTTATACTCTTATTACCTCTACCACTACGGGATTTGAATCGACCACTGCATCTGTGTGCTAACGTGGTGTGGCAACTTGAACTGATGTACGTACTTACGAAGTTCTACGTTGTTACTGACTGACTGCTTTTCATCTAAATATGATCTAACCAGTTACAACATAAGTATATAGGGGATTTTGAGATGGTGGAGATTTGTAGCTCAGGTGGATGATTTTGATGGAGTTTTGTTCTCTGAGCTGGATGGTTTGGTCGTGGAGCTTTCATCGTTCTTCTGAACGACATCATCAGCACAAAATTCAGATTGAAGTGAAGTGTTCGATTTTCTCCATATGTGTTTCACAGCTTGTTCTGTGCACAGAACAAGCTGTGAAACACATATGGAGAAAATCGAACACTTCACTTCAATCTGAATTTTGTGCTGATGATGTCGTTCAGAAGAACGATGAAAGCTCCACGACCAAACCATCCAGCTCAGAGAACAAAACTCCATCAAAATATAGGGGATTTTCATAACGTTAGCAACTGTTCATGCTAATGTATGTGGATAATGTTTGTCTGTTCTAGTTAGCGACAAGTATTCTCGACATTTTTTCTCTCTTCCATTCGATAACATTTTTCTATTTATATTACTGAATCTTTTTTTTTTCTAGTCAAATAAATATTTGTTAATTGTATTTCAGTTTATTTATTTCTATGTAGACACTTGTTACATCCAATTTTTAGGTCACATGTGTTTCATTGCATTCTACCTTTTTTTATTGTACTCTGATAAACAAGCTAAACTATTCACATTCTGTAGTCTTGTGTTAATGTTGTTGTTGTTGTTGAGATTTTCTTCTTCATGTATTCAGTGCATATTGTAAAAAAAAATATGATAATTACCCTTTTAATGTTTTTTTTGTGTGGCTTTTACAATTTTTGTTTTCTTATAACAAGATATTACTGCAAGTGTATATTAAGTATTTGGAATGAAAACTATTTCAGTAGTTAATAATCAGTTCATTATAATAAATATAGAACCTTGAACAAATATGCATCAGTTCATATTACCATATTGTATGTATCACTACAGAGAGATGAATTTAATGAAGATAATGACAAACGAGATCAAAATGTAGTAAAAAATGTTATTAAACAAGATAAAACAGTGAAAATGTGATTCAGAAAGATGTATGAGGGAATACTGAAATTTAAAATCGAAAGATAAGGATGGATCCATTTATATCATTTTTAATGATTGTGAACCGTGCCACCTAAAGCCTTCGATGCATTGGTGGTAATTTTTTACCTGTGGTCTTCAGCTGCTAACTATGATTGTCACTTAGACTAGTAGTATCAGCAGTCCTATTTGTGTCGTTAGGTAAATAATAGCGTTTATGTAGTTAAATGTAATTTATTGTAAATGAGTAGTCTCAGATTTCTGCGTTTATTTTTATTTCCTTGCTTAATTTTGATAAATTGTTCACTGTTTATTCTGTTCAGCGCGTCGAAGATAACTGGACCCGTGGTCAGTATCATTTAACTCGGATACCATGTCGAAGCGATGTCACAAAAGGCGTTTATTGTCTTCAGTATGATAAGCATAAAATTGTTAGCGGTCTAAGAGATGATACTATTAAGGTGTGGCAAAGAATTCCAAACATTTGTGCAATCAATAAAAATAAAGGATCTAGTTCTGATTGTACTACTACTCCCAATCCTGATGAGTCTGGGCATAAAGTCAGGGTGAGAAGTGACGCTCCTACGGCTGCGGGAGCAGCTGTTGAAGCACCAAATCAAGAAGGTTTCAATGCAGCAACATGTTCCGACGGTTACCATTGTACACAAGTAAGTTGTTGAAATTTTTAAAATTCAATACTGCCTATGAACAGTTTATTGAAGGCGCATAGGTTTGCAAATCTCTCACTATTTTCGTTCTTTTCTCCCAGTCCTTGTCATCCCATGATGTCTTCATATCCGGTGTTGTCCATCCCAACCTTGACATTTAAATCTCCCATCAGAATGGTCAGGTCCTTTGTTGGGCACTTCTCGACGATTGACTGCAGCCTATTGTAGAATTGATCTTTAGCGTCTTCATTGTAGTCGTTGGTAGGCGCATAGCATTGGATGACTTTCATTGCAATGCCATCTTTCTTTGTTTTGAAGGAGGCTTAGATGATTCTTGGTCCATGAGATTCCCATCCTATAAGTGCATTTTGTGCTTGTTTGGACAGCATCAATGAAAATCCTGGTGCATGTGGAGCATTTTCTTCATCATGTCCGGAGTATAACAGAAGCTCCCCTGAAGCTAGTCGTTGTTGTCCAACTTGCGTCCAATGTGTTTCACTGATCCCAAGCACCTCCAGGTTGTATCTCCTCATTTCTGCAGCAATTTGGAAGACTCTCACGGTCTTTCACATTGTACGAGCATTCCATGTACCTAAATAAATGGTTGCTCTGGTTGTCAGAAGCGGCATCGACCTCGTAACTTCCGAAGGAACTCGGCTTTCATCATGAGGCGTCATAACTCTTCTAAATGAAGAACGTCTGACTCCCAGGGCAGAGTTTAAATAGTTTGAATAATTTTTTCTGGTTAGCGTTTTTTTAGCGAGTTAGTTTTCTACGGGATGGTGTCGCTAACCCCATGCCCAACCCTCCTCTTTCATCTGGGCTTGGGACCGGCGGTAGCCCCCAGAGGAACTCCGGGCGGAGCTTACCGGTTGACTAGCCGGGAATAGTTTGGGCGGAGTCACACTGATGCGATACACTAGACTCTCCGATAGCCGTTGCTGTCGAATAGGGTGCAGTTGAAGTGCTTGATAACTTATCAGCGGTCATTAAACGAAGGACTGTGGTTTTAAGATCCTGTATACTGTTTGGTGGCATGTGTAGCAAGTGCTGTCGTAGTGCACCCGGCAAAAGCCCTTCTACAAATCGCGAACGCACTAGTTCTTCTCGGACAGAGAAGTCTAGGCTAGGGAAGGCATAATAAATTGTGGAAGCAAGGTAACACTACTCTTTGTCATTTGTCTTCATATTATTCTAAATCCGTATATCCTACAACAATAATGGGTAGTTTGCAGGGGTTAGAAACCACTATTCTGCTGGATACAAGAGAAAGCCAAAAGTAAATTCCAGGAACAACTAAGGTCACACTTAGATAGTTCTGGAAACGAGGCTGATCCAGATGTTGCTTGGAAAGATGTACAATCAGCTATGGAAACAGCAGCGACATCTATTAATGATTTGAACCAAAGGGTCACAAAAAAACCAATGGATTTATTTTAAGTCGATTGCACTGATGAGTTATCGTAAACTTTATACCTTTATTTCTACGAACTAATTCTTTCTGCCTGTATTATATCCTTATACACAATCTTTCTTTTATATATTACTACCATTGAATTGACTACTTCTATGAATTTTGTATTCATGTTGTTGTGCTAATGATGTGTGGCAACTTGAACCGATGCATATATATGTGCCCTGCTCCTACGTTGTAGCTGACTGACTTAGTGTAAAAAACACTATTTTATGTAAAGGTTAACAATACTACCTTTCATAATATTCATATTTTATGTTTTTCCTGTTTTTATTTCGAGCACTTGCTCCACAAAACTAAATGACCATTAAAACCTATATGGTATGTAACACTAGATTAATTTTGGAAAATCATTTCTTTTTAGTATATTGCCAATCTATTAGATAAACATGTGATTTAATGTAACATTGATCATTTTATTTTGAGATCAGATAAAAATAAACGTTATGTCTGTATATATCTGAGTGTACCATTCAATCGGCATGTAAGATCCATGTTAATATGCAACTTTTTTATAATGTCATTATTAATTAATCAATTCCATAAACCGGTGTTTTTCACTAGAGCATCGATATATTCATCTCTAAGCAAATTAACCATGAAGACAGTGTTAGTTTACATCAGCTTATAACCTAGAATTCTCTACTTTCAACTACTGTTTTGAACATTTTTAAGATCTGCCCTTAAACCTAATTCAGATTGTGCAAGCAAAGGTTATCTTTCAAACTGTTCTTATTCAGATGATACGAAAGAACGTTTTATCACAAATAATACTTTTTCATTCGGTGTTTGAAGATGGATTAGATGAATTAATACAACCTAAATATCATATATCTTATTGTAATTGACATCTTTTGGTATTATAACTAGTAGATAGTACCCCAACCCCGCCTGGAGTCCCAAGTCCGGATAAAGGAGGAGGGTTGGGCATGGGGTTAGCGTCCCCATCCCGTAGAAAACTAACTCGCTAAAAAAACGCTAACCAGATAGTACTCCATTTCACAAACTGAAGTAATTGTAGGAAAGTTCAAATATTACAGTCTCAATATTTAAAAGTCAAATGATTAGTCATTTATTTATCAGTGCTCCAAAAATTGTATCAACAACAGACCCTTGTATTATTTTTCATCTAGCTTAAACATTAATTAAAGCAACTTGTTTAGGTATCACTGTCTTGTTCGATTATTTTTTAAAAAATCTTCTAGGTCCTTGAAGGACATTCAGGTTCCGTTTTATGTTTGCAATATATCGGGAATTTGCTGATCAGTGGTTCCAGTGATACAACAGTTCGTTTATGGGATTTATCCACTGGATGTTGTTTAAATGTTATCAATCATCATGCTGAAGCTGTGCTACATTTACGGTTTCGCAATAATATTCTAGTAACATGTTCAAAAGTAAGCGACATATTGTTTATTTTTATTCTTTTTCTTTTAAAAGTGCATTTATGCAAATATTTGTTTTCATTTCCATATAATAATAAATCAATATGTTGATAAATAGCTGGAGAACAATAGTGATCCGATATAAATCATATCCTTTTTCATAGATTTAAAACCCAACATTTGTTTTCTACATTAAAGTGCACAAGTTTCTTGGTGGATGGATTACTCATAGACTGTATTATTTCTGTAGTTTACATTAATTTTCAACCAGGTCTGTTGTGAGATAGGAACTCACTGAAGACAATGGTGTACGGTAGCGCAACTTCGGGGATTGGTTGAAGTTAGACATTAACACCGTTGGATGCCGGCTCAGTGGTCTAATGGTTGAGTGCTCGCGCGCGAAGCCAGTAGGTCCTGGGTTCGAGCCCCGGGTGGTGCGGGGTCGTGGATGCGCACTGCTGAGGAGTCCCATACTAGGACGAAACGGCCGTCCAGTGCTTCCAGGTTTTCAATGGTGGTCTAGCTTCAACTGACTCATGAGTTCAATCTGTGAAAATTAATTTTATTATTAGAATAAGCAAACTTACGACTTATTTATCCGCAGCTTATCTAATACACTTCTCATAGTTCTAAAATAGGGTAGATATGATGTTCTACGGGTATTGTCTCCACGACATTCATAATTTGACGATGTTGGGACTGGTTGGAAAAAGCGGAGAGGTGGTCATTGTATGATGTGGTTTCGTGGCGTGAAAGTTGTATAGGACTGACTTCTATTGGACCTTCATTACCCCCTCGCTGGGGTCCTAGATATGGTGCAACGCAGTGGCCGGAGATGTTATCAAACATGGCTCAGAATAGAAGCCAGCGGCAATTCTACTGTGTGTATTTTTTTTAACCGCTTCTCCCATCATCATTGTTATAATAATAATGAGGATATTATTATCATTATTGTTATTGCTATTACTATTGTTATTTCACTCCTATGTACTAATTTCTATTCAGTTTTTTTTTATTATCATACTCACCTTCCTTTCTCTATCCCTTCACAAACTCATTTTTATTGTGTGGCGCATATTCATTTTGGTGCCCCCTTGCATTAATGTTTATGTGTTCAAATAAATAAATAATGCAATATTTTGTTGGTAGGAATGAATTTGTGAACACACAGTTTGACGTTGTATTAAGTGAACTTGTATAGTCGTGGATGTGTTCTCGAATATATTACTTTCTAGATGTCACGTAATATTTTAGGCATCCTGAGGATTATTTTACAGGTTATCCATTTTTTTAATTTTAAATTTGAACTGATTTATATCATGTGTAGATGTCAGTACAATAATAAGTAGCCATTTTAAATGAAGATTCTTTAACAACATTTACTATGTTCGTCATCATATTAAGGTGCACCAGGAAAGTTTATTGAAATGACAAAATTGTTCTTCAATAACCTTGGTCATATTGAAGAATGATCAATTTTTAATATTGTAGGAGTTAATTGGAAGAAAGTTAGGGTTGACCAAATCAACAGTTGGCATATCACTACATGGAATCATTGATTGTTAATCTGAGCTGTGTTGTTGGTAGGTGCGGACTGTTACTGGCAAACGCAATCGAGTGGTTTAAGAAGTTGGATGATATGGCTCAGAATGGGTCGCAATTTTTGGTCTTTTTTCTACACATCTTGCTAACTTGTTCTCGTTGTTCTAGTATGTTATGGCACCTTGGAGCTAACTCGCATCTCCACTAGGCGCTATATTGTTTATGACTCACTCGTCATTAAATATACATTTACCTACTTACGCCTGTTACCCTTCGTAAAGGAGTATAGACCGTCCACCAGCATTCTCCATCTAACTGTCTTGGACAATCCTTTTCACTTGTTTCCAGTTGCTATTCATCTTTTTGATCTCTGCTTCGAATTCTCGAGTGTATTTTGGCCTTCCTATGTACAGTTACTTCTATGTCTGATTTCAGTGCTTCAGCTTATTATCAGGTCCTGTTGATTTATCTAATGGCCATCCTGATTTCTTTGATTGTTGGTGGAGTGACAACTACAGTGAGGTCTGTGTGTGCTGCTTCGATGTTTGGTGGGTTGAGTGGAGCTGGCCTATTCAAGAGTTCCTCGATTTATTTATTTATTCTATTTTTTCTTCTCTAGTCTTATATTCAATATTATAATCTATTTTACTACCACTGATACTACTACTATGCCATTCTTCTTGATAATTTTTTTCTGGTTGTGTTTATATAGTGTAGCGTCATGGTGTAATGCACATATATGTCAGGTTCTGAGTTCTTTATAACCAACTGATTAGTTGATTGTTCTTAGGAAATATTACATTTCCCGTAAATTATAATATCAACAAGTTCAGTGTTTAAAGTTATAATATTTTCTTTTTGTTTCATTATTTTATCAATTTTAGGATCGCAGTATTGCAGTATGGGATATGGGTCCTTGGCCAAAAGATGTTCAATTACGTCAAGTTCTTGTTGGACATCGAGCTGCTGTTAATGTTGTTGATTTCGATGATAAGTACATTGTTTCAGCTAGTGGTGATCGTACAATCAAAGTGAGTAATCTTATTATATTCATTTTCAGATTATTGTCTTATTAAACTTCAATCACCTTAGACTTTCAACTTGTTTGATTGATTTTCAAATAATTATAGGTTTGGGCTACGGATACATGTGCTTATGTGCGTACATTGACAGGTCATCGTCGAGGTATTGCTTGTTTACAATATCGTGATCGATTAGTGGTTTCCGGAAGTTCCGATAATACAATCCGTATTTGGGATATTGAGACTGGTGTATGTTTCAGAGTTCTTGAAGGACATGAAGAACTAGTACGGTGTATCCGCTTTGACTCTAAACGTATTGTGTCAGGTGCATATGATGGGTAAGTGTTGTTTTTGCTATTAATATTAATATTAATATTATTATATTGTATGCAATGTATGGAAAGTTTCCCTATGTATTTTAAATTTCCTCAAGGACAATCAATCAGTCATAAGTGGTATAAAAACTGGCACATATATCTGTCGGTTCGAGCTGCCATAGTACACCAGCACAGAAAAATAAAAGTATCAAGACAAATCCCAGAGCAGTAGAAACAATGACAGTTTTAATGAAATTAGAAACACTCAGCATAGACAATACGTCTCTATACAACTAAAAATTAATTTGTTGAACAAAATATGTAGGATGATTTTAAAAGTCAATATCTAAGGTAAGAGGAAGAGTATTGAGTGCTTCTGCACCATTGCTACTGATTCCGAATTATACCGACTAAATTATCTAATCATTAGTTGCGAAAATTATACTTTCCTTAACCAGGTGTTGGAGACGTTAGATTCCCAGAACTCACTTGGGAAAGGACCTAATTTTGTAATTTTATCTAGAAAATTTGAATTTCTTTGTTTTCGCGTCAAAGGCGCTCTTGTCACCTTCATTTCGTATTTCCCACTTGGGAGAATCATAAATGCCATTGTTCCGTTGCGTCTTTTATTATGCTATTTTGTAACTCTGCCCAAGGACGGTTTTGCAATGTATATATACGTTTTGAATTGTGTTTGTTGTTATCGCTCGTTTCTGGCTGTTTGCAGAATATACTTTCCCATTCCAAGCTTGGACTTCTCCCTCTTGTTAGTGGGGCTGGGACGCATCAAATAGCTAGCTTACTGGTCTTGGTCACTGAGTCTTTGTTCACGTTCGCAGATCATGTGAACTCGTGTTAACTTTAAACCTAACAATTTGGTCCTTTTCCAAGTGAGTTCTAGGGATCTAACGTCCCCAACAGTTTGCGGAAAGATTAGCAAATATTAGCGATTAAGAGTGTATGTATTGTGTGCTGCCACAACATTGAAAATGATAACTTCAATTATTCATCTGCTCTTTTTTTATTACATAACCTATGCTTAACTTTAATCATTACTCACTCTATAAGTCCCATCATGTACAATATGTTCATCATCATAAGAGGAACTGACATATTTTGAACAGTGCACTATATATATATATATATATATATATATATATATATATATAAACTCTAGGCACACTATATTTTTAATTGATAAATTAATTATTTTAACACAGATATTGGTACAAGGAGGCACCAGTTACATATGCGTCAGACAGACCTCATTTGATATGTGTGAGAGCTTTGATACTGCCCGGATGCCCAAACCGAAGCGGGTGGTTTTCTTAGGGGAGATGCAGTCCGATGGTAGCAGGTGACCAACGATTGGTTCATACGTCATTTGTTCCCTCAGGATAATGGAACCTATGTACACCAATAGTTTGGAATCTGTGTTTTCCAACTCCCCCAGGTGGACTCTCCATGTCCACCGACCCAGTTAAAGCGCCGGACATTCGCTTTTCATCCTCTCCATTTCGTAAATAACACCGCTGATGCGAGAATGCAGTGAGTAGCACTTCCCTGGCAGAGGCTATATACGCGTGGCCATGTGAGAGCATTTCGAGAGGAAGAGCGGACTCTTCACACTCTCGGCCGTACCAGAGCATTTGGGGCATATTTTTAATTAATCAATCATTGAATAACATTATCACTAATCTTATGCTTGTCTAATCCTTTAATACGGATTACATTGTATCGATCAAATTATTATTTAATTACTAGTCTATCTAATATTGAAATCATGTTCACTATGTTGATATACGTAAGATATTGGTTAGAGGTTAGTTATTTAACTACAATTCACCGTAATTAGATTTTATGCTAACTGTTGGTTATTAGTCGTCAAGAGGTACTTGAAACCTTTAAGAAAATTAATTTCTTTGATTATTATTATTTGTTACATTTTAATTGTATTCACTATTGTTAATTCACTTTGATTAATTATTTTTATAGAAAAATTAAAGTTTGGAATTTAAAAGCTGCACTCAATCCTCGTTCTAAACCAAATCAATTATGTATTCATACATTACAACAGCATACTGGTCGTGTGTTTCGTTTACAATTTGATGATTTTCAAATTGTTTCATCATCACATGATGATACTATTTTAATATGGGATTTTGCACGACCAGCTACTGGAAGTGAAGAACGTGATGATGGATTTGATGATGGAATAAATGCTGCATTAGCATCACAAAATAATTGTCTCTGTTCATTAAGATCAGCTGCTGTACAATGTCATGTACAATCAGATAATAATATTAATACTGGAGGTGGATGTAGCAGTAGTAGTCATACTAATACTACTAATAATAATAATAACAACAACACAAACGACAAAAATAACTTAACACTTGTCTCCATTGATAACAAGAATAGTGTTACTGCTTCCAATTCCACTACTACTATTACTAATGCTAACATCACCACTATTACCACATCTACTATTAGTGGTAATAATAATCCTAATGATAATTTCAGCAATTCTAATAATTCCATTATGAATCCATCCAAATCTAGTTTTATCTCATCAACTAATAGAAAAATTTAAAGAGAAAAACAAATTAAATTGGTATCAACTCACCAATATTTCACATTTATCATTAATTCTAATTTAACTTGCACAGTAATTTCTTCTTCTTATTTTCTGTCTCTTCTCTCGATGTTCATGTTTCTACTATTCATGTTTATCTTTGAATTTGACGATGATGTTGAGTATTTAGTTATTTTTACTCATATATATATATATATATATATCGGCCTATTGTTACTGTTATCAATATTATTACTGTTACTTTCGGTTGTGTTATTTTACAACTTCTCGGTAAAATGATTAGTCAGAACATGATTTTTGATTGCTTTTAATGGTGTATGGGTGGTTTCAACTCCCTGGTTGCCTAAACTGTGGGAGTGTACTTTTTATGAGGTACCTGAACAGAAAGCTAGATAGGTAGTGATCTGGACAACATGGACCGTGAACGTAAACCGTAAAAAACAGTTGTCTTGAGGTCGATCGTACACGGGTTTTTTATAGCATTTCATAATGTGTTAGTTTTATACTTCTAAAACCATACCGCAAACGATGGAAATCCGCGGAACAAGGTGAAATGGTGCACATTTAGTGCAGAACATTTTAATGCCTCCCTTCCCTTATGGGAAGGCAGTATCTCTGTAGATGCTAGTTGTCCGAGAGAAACATCTTGCCACCGTCACATCCCTGTTCAGTCATTAGTCTGATTTCTCCTTTGAAACTTAAATTGTTTTGTCTAGTCTTATTGTTCTCCGAACTATCTACCAAACGAACTAGTGTCCCAACCGTTGGGATTTTAATTCCGGCTAATTATCACGTGAATTATTCACCAATCGGAATACGACTTATACAATCTCAGCACTGTACCAAACCAATGACCTTCAACCGGTATGAGCAGCCTAGCTTCATTATCGGTCCTTTTTCCTCCTAGCCCTACAATTTGAGTTCAGACACCAATATATAGATATACGTAATCCAGTTACTGAATAGTTATGCGATAAGAATATATACTAGTTCATTAATGGTTGTCAGAAGTTGTCCGTTGTTTAACCTTCACTAAGATATAACCAACAATATAGCTCGTCTATTTCATTGCAATATGCAAACCGGCCTATAACTTCAAGGTAGCAGCTATAGTCAGTCACAGCTGAACTATACCTAAGTGTAGCGATTGGTTTGTTGTTTCGAATAATCAGGTTCTTAAGGGCGGGTTTGATTAAGACAAGTGGTTAATGTTGTTCGTTGACAGAACAAAACTTGATATTTTGGTTTACACTGATTGATTATTGAACAGTAACATGTCACGTTTTTCATGTCAGTTATTACTGGGCAGGTTCAAGTTCTAATGTCTTTGGTGGCTGAGAACAGTCAATCACATTTCTCGTCTCCAGGAGATTAATGTGTTCCGTTCAAGTTTGATCTATACCACATTCGTCGATGTCTGACATGACGACAATAATTAGTCAGTAAATAGTAACAAATATTCTCTATTTTCTAGTCATTATTAGCGATCTGATTATAATCATAATACAGTATTCGAGGTGGGTTTGCAAAGAACTACAATTTGTGGTCTAAGCTAAAAGATAGTCAGAGGAAGCCCTGAACCTGTATTTCGTGCCGTTTGGTACTCATCATCAAGGCGCACCTTTAGTCGTGGAGCAACTGGTTCTTTACATGGGGTCCGGACCCTTATCACTCAGCCTCGCTGTTTGAGATGCTATTACTGAGCTATTTGACCCGACACTGATTATCGAATACTCCGGGCGGTTTGAGTAGATTGCTGACGGTTATTTGTTTTATGTAAAATGAAAAAGTGGAAGGATCAAGGGCCGTGAAATTCAAACATACAGCTATCGGATAATATTCAAGGAAAGAAATGTAATCTCACAGGCATAGTTGAGAACTGATAATTCCAAAACGTAGATTTAATATTATGCAAATACACTATCCCGATGAAGAGAAGTTACTTAAGTGTTGGTGTAGAGTGACGAATTCCATTCATTTGATTGTTCCACAGTGATCCGTAGAGTTGCGATTTGGTTGGTACAGGGTCGATCGCTGTGGAATCCAGCTTGTTGGTCTCGAAGTTGAGCGTCTATGGAGTCCTTCATCCTGTTTAACAATACCCTGTTGAAGACTTTTCCCGGTATTGAGAGAAGAGTGATGCCCCTGTAGTTATCACACTTGCTGAGATCGTCTTTCTTTGGTATTTTGATCAGGAGTCCTTCTTTCCAGTCTGTTGGTACTTGTTCCTCATCCCAAATCTTGCTGAAGAGAATGTGGAGTATCCTTGCAGTTACCGCTACGTCTGCTTTCAGTGCCTCTGCTGGGATGTTGTCTGGTCCTGATGCTTTGCCACTCTTGATTTGTCTGATATCCATGCTGATTTCTTCAATTGTTGGTTTGCCAACATCGATTGGGAGGTCTGTGGGTGCTACTTCGATGTTGGGTGAGTTCAGTGGAGGTGGTCGATTCAAGAGTTCTTTGAAGTGTTCTACCCACCTGTTTTGTTGTTCTTCAATGTTGTGATTACCTTGCCTTCCTTGCTTTTCACTGGTCGTTCTGGTTTATGGTGATTTCCACCGAGTTTCTTTGTTGTGTCATACAGTTGTCTCATGTTTCCATCAATTGCAGCCTTTTCCTCCGTCATTGTTAGATCCTTCACATATTTACGTTTGTCGTTTACAATAGATATACGAAAGTCAGTTAATTAGAAGATACATTACATCGCATTCGTGAGCAAGATTGAAGGTCCTGGGTTCGACTGATTTTAATAGTTAATAATACTTTTCATGTATATTTCAGTTGAACCGTCATTATGGATAATGTGTATAATCTAATTTTGTAACTAACTAGTCGACTTAAATGTTGTTCATCGTTTTTGACTTGATTTGTAAAATTATAGGTTGTTTTTATTCATGTTATTGAAAAATTCATTACTTGCCAAGGCTTCTACTAGAATCAACCAGAAAAATGGATATTTAGTAATTTCCACTTTAAATTTTCAAACCATGAGTATTCTATTAAATTAAACGCTATTATATGCCCTTATCATTCATAGCTTACCACCAAATGCCCTGGTACGGCCGAGAGTGGGAAGGGCTCGTCCGGCGTTTTAACCGGGCCGGTAGACACGGTGAGTCCACCTAGGGCAGTTGTAAAACCTTGAGTCCAAACCAATGGTCTACATGGGTTCCAGGATCCTGAAGTAAAAAGTGGCGTATGAACCAACTATTGGCCACCGGCTACTATAGGACTGCATCTCTTCACGATACTCCACTGCCTTGTGGATCAGACCTTTAGGTCAAAGGTTCGGGGTGTGGCCCACTACGAAAACCACCTGATTCGGTTTGGGCACCCGGGCAATATCACAGCACACACATATAAAATGAAATGACGATATTTACAGATAGCTTAAGACATACCCACACTTTTCGTCTTTATCTCATGATCAGTTTCCGTTATTTTATTTTTCCAGTATATTTAGGTTAATTAAAAAACAACATGGTTAGCTAAAGTCAAGTCATAACACTTGGAAAAATAAACATATCTAGTTTATTAATAGTTTAATTAATGAGTCGACCTAATCTAGACCACCAATGAAAACTTGAAGGCATTGATCAGTCGTTTCGTCTTAGTATGGGACTCCTCAGTATGGCACATCCACAGTTCTGTACGCTGGACTCAAACATAGGACCTTCGGTCTCGAGCGCGAAATGGACTTCTAGACCATTGAGATGGCATCCAACGGTGTTAATGTTTAACTCCAATCAACCTATGATCTTACACAACCTTTTATCCATTGTCTGAGGTGGATAACTGTCTCCACTCTACATGGATTGGATTCCGCTGGTCACCGCTTAGTTTAATTAAATGAACATACTTAATTTAACGACTGTCAATATAACAAGTTGGAATGAGAAGACAAGTATACTTTTTTTCAAACCCAGTGTAATATTTAATGACGTATGTGACACTTTGATATCGATTTTATTCTCAGTGTAACACTTTAGTCAGTACGATAGTTTCCTCTATAACATTATTCCTAATTGATGTGTTTATACCAATCAAGTTTAGCGTTTATTCAATATGACAGTTTTATTCCTTATATATATTTCACAGTAACCTTGTGTATGTTTTCATATACATGATGTTTGTAAAATTAGTGTATTTTTCGTAATGATGACGTGATTTTGGACGACTTGTTTTGTGGATGTGTTTACGAAAAGTAAATATATCATTATTTATACCAGTGTTCGTGTTTTCGCTTAGCGTATTGACGACTGCAATGGTTTCATTTTGCAAGTATAAATATTAGAACCGAGTATGAAACAGACCTACCATATACATAACAGAGTAGACGCGGATATAGCAGCTACGCAACATGCTTAGAGACTATATGCATCGATTAACCACCATGAAGAATGATTTGATAACTTATTTCAGCGCGTTAATTCTCGCTAAGGAGCATAAGCCGACCACCAGCATTCTCCATCTAACACTGTCCGAGACAATCCTTTCCAGCTGCTGTTCATCCTTTTCAAGTCTGCTTCTTATTCTCGACTCAATATGATCTTCGGCTTTCCAATTTTTCGTTTACAATCGCTATTCACAATTAACACTTGCCTCGTTATGCAGTTTCGTGATTTTCTCTATGCACATCCTATCCACTTCAAATGTATCTTCCTAATTTACTCCTCAGCTGCAAGCTCGTTTGTCCTCTCGCACAAAACGCTGTTGCTCATCGTATCCGACCAACGGATATTGAGTATCTTGCGTTTATAAACAACTGTTTATAAATACTTACACATTTTTGATGATGGTTGTATTGGTTGTTCAAGTTTCAGCTCCACACAGTAGCACTGTCTTGACATTTGAATTGAAGATGGTGATTTGGATAATGGTTGACAGAGAGTTGTGTTTGAGTTCCATATGTTCTTCAATTGTAGGAATGTGGCCCTGTCTTTGTTTTGTCAGTCCTTGCCTTTACGTCTACATCATATCCATCACGTTCATTGATGATGTTACCCAGGTAGGTGAAAGATTCCACATCTTTCAGAGCTTGTCCATCAAATGTGATTGGGTTGGTGTTCTGTTAGGTCCCGATAAGCATAATGAGTGGTAACTTTTGAGATCCATTTATGGACCAGTAATATTCTTATATTTTTATCGTATAATTGGTCAATAACTAAACTAATCATGTTCATGTACCTCTTATTATGAGCTTTATTTTGACCTATGAACTATTATTATATCATTTACCATTCTTGAATTATGCCCTGTCTATGAATTACTACCTCCCACATTCACAGCCACA